GAGAGGGAGAGGGAGAGGGAGAGTGAGTGAATGAGTGAGTGAGTGACGGAGAGAGCGAGTTGGCAGTTGGCATAATGCTCTCTGCGCCTGACAGGCTCGGGTTGCTCTTTGCCTCGCAGACGAGCCAGCAACTCTGTCAAGAGGAAGGGCCCCAGGAAGTTCGTCTGCCAGGTGGCATCACCTGTTGGCTCAGAGGTCACATTCATCGGATGAAGAAATCGCGGATGCCTTTCCCACTCGCTGGTGGCCGCATAACGCCCGCGTTGTTTACGAGCCTCAACCACTTCAGAGCTGGCTTCGGAGCGCAACGCATTCTCATCTCTTGCGGCCAGCGGCATCCGAAGTCCAGGCTGGCCCTCCCTCAGGAACAAATGCACCTCCAGACAGGTCTGCTAATCATGAAGGGCCAGAATCGAATCAACAGAACCTTTCAGAAAGCCTCATCGGCAAAAGCCTGCACAGAGTCCGGGTCGAGCAAGTCCAAACGGTGGACCTCCAAAAAACGCTTGTATGCCTACCGTGTCTCAACAACAAGTGACTGCACCGTACTGCCCGACCTTGGTGCGATCCTTCAGCTTTCGAAAAACTGCCTCAGTCCTCTTCTTGTCCCTGCAACCCAGAAGCAAGGTCACGGAAGGATGTCCTGAGGGGAACACTTCAGAAACTGCCATGCCTCTTTGAGCGAGATGCATGGGCATAAAGCAGTGGGATTCACGAACATGCAGGCCAAGGCGCTAAGCAGCTGTTGCGCCATTTCTTGGCCAATCCCACTGCTTGCTCCAGTTATGACAATGCGGGCATCTGTCCCTGCTGAAGCATTGAGCAGGGCCTCAGTGGCCCAAGACAGCTCCATCGCGTGAAACGCTTTGCAGCACGCTCGAGAAGACAGAGCAGAAGTTGAGGCGTACGAGAGAATAAAATCAAAAGTTCTGGTTCCGTGTAGTCTGCGATCCTTCCAAAGGCATGCTAGTAACATCCACAGTCTCAGACCCAGCACACAGAGGGATTCAGCCGGAGCTCATGGGCCACATTGGCAATTAGATTCAGGAACCCTGAAAGAGCTGCGACTATTCACAGAAGCTGTGAACCAGAGCTTCCGCCTACCCAGCAACTTTCTGGGGTCGTCGCCTGCAAATGTCCACGAGCTTTGGAAACTCTCTGTGCTCGCCTGCAAGCAGGTCGGACAGAGCATCGGTGAAGAAATTCAGCTCTCATGCCTTGCGACAGTGCCTCGCAAAAACAGCAGCACAGGCCACCCCGCCCAAAGCGGCCGTCGCGCACACAAGCTGGCTGAGCCAGCTTTGGCCATCGCTGGAACTCATTAGAAATCTGATGCTCGACGGGTGGGGATGCCACCCGTGTCTTACGAGACAATCACTTTGCTTTGACGAACAAAAAAGACTATCATCCTAGCAGGTGTTTTTGCAAGGTACGAAGGGACTGCCAATCCCATCACTTCTGGTACTGGAAAAAGCTGAGAGCCACGGGAAGACGCAGCACAAAAGGCCCCCTTCCCTCTTTCATCATCCGTCAGGCAAGGCTTGGGAGTGCGGGTCAGAACCGACCTGACTCTCACACGGCACGGACACGGAATTGAACCTATCTATCTCTCGTGATGCCATGGCTGAAAGAAGTATCTTACTTGAACGGGAAGTCTTTTGATACCTACAGCACGAGTCCGTCTTGCTTGCCGTAGCTGATAGCAGCGCCTCGAAGCTAGAACCTCCACACCCGCTTGTTTCATTAACGAAGCAGAGCCTAAGAACAGGGTGCTCTTGTATTCCAAGGATGCACTGCGCTGTTAAAGAGGAGCTTGGATCTGGTTCTGCTGAGTGTTTCCTGGCCGTTAGCTTCGTTTGTCATTCGGTGGTGGGTCGCGCTGACAGTCGTCATGAGCTTGCTGCAAACGACTTTAACGGGTAGTCTCAATGTGTTGCCAAGCTGCAGATGAGCTTGTGACCCTAAGCTCTACCCGATTGCCCTAAATTCCTGCTGCGGAAGGGCTGTGTACAGTAACTCGCAGTTTTGCTGAGGCTTGAGTCCACTCGCAGTGCATCGAGAAATTTGCCTCGCAGCAATCCCTAAACTCCTAAACCCTAAACCCTGCCTTACCCCTTTTAAGTTGCGCAAGACGAAGCTCAAGGGGAATGAGTAGCATTGGGCACCGCCAAAGAACATCACTGCCCGACTGCCCGGTCTTCACATCGTTTTGCCGCCGCCATGGTGCGTTCTCATCCGGCGTAAAGTTACAGCCTAGATCTGGCTTGCTGCCAGAAGGGCAGCTCTTGTAACGGGCTCCTTTGTCCCAGAAGCTGGAGTAACGGGCTCCTTTGTCCCCTGACAGAGGCAGGACGCATTCAGGCAACAACATCTGTGTGACGACATCGCCTTCAGACCCCAGTGTAGTTGTACAGGTACTACTGCAGGCTGCCGCGATTTGGCCTCTGGACCAAGGTCAAGTCACGACGTGGATTAGGCCGCAGCGAGTGGCATGCCCAAAGCTGAGAAATCAGCGAGAAGCCACGTCTCATCGCCCCACCTTCGAGGCTGGGCAGAGCGAGTGGGAAAAGCTGGCAAGGTCACCCACCTGCGTTCATCATCCTTGGCCTGCTGAAAAAACACAATACCAGCTCTCTTGAGGAGAAGTTTAGTCACGACACTTTGCAACTCGCCTTGGCAGGCGTCGGAGCGATGTCATTTTCTAGCATGTTCTCTTTGTGAGCATGGCCGGCGCCACTCGCCGACACCTGAATTCACACGTGGAGCAACAGTGATGTGGGCTCGCGCAACAGTGTACCGTCAGGATCGCATCAACAGGTGTCTTCGCAGTCACGGTGCCGACCAGAAATCTGCAGACCCTAGTCACGAGAATGGTATCTGAGAGAGCGACCTTAACTGCATCCAATGCAGCTGTCTCAGCTTCTTGGAGAAGCCGTGCCTTCAGCAGAGCATCAAGCCTGGGGCCCTAGCAGCCTTAGCACAGCAATGCTGAGCCATGGGCCAAGCAGGCAGCACGTCCCGCAGGCCTTCGCCAGAAGGCATTCCCAAAAAGTTGAGACTTCTGCCGAACCCTCGTGATGCGGCCTCACAAGTGAGGAGGAAGCCGCACGTTGCCTGAATGATAGGCTCAAGCCAGGCACGGCACCGGTCATGTCGGATGTTTCGTTGAACATGTGCACTCGCCTGGAAGGTTGATTCGGATGGCTTGCTGCCGGCAGTCTAGACTCGGGGCAGGCATGCCTCTAAGCGAGAGAGCTACAGGGACTGCAGAACGTAACAGGCCCCCGAGCAGACCCGCCTTTCGACCAGTGGAGCCCTCAGCTCCACCAAACGCAGCTGCCCTGCCAGAGACATGTCCCACCACCTGCAAGGGAGTAGTACTTGACACAAGAGCTTCGTCGTCTGCCAGACTTAAGGTCCAGCAGTGTAGGAGCACACCTGCATGATTTCAAGATTTAAAACCACCGTTGAATCAAACTGTCAGCCTGTGGAAAACTCGCCGCATCAGCGATGCTTGCTCCACATATAGGCGTCTGTGGAGATCTTCCACATTTGAGATAGCTGGCCTGGGAAACAAATCATCCAGTCTCCGTCCTTGCTCAGGTAACAAAGGTGCAGGCGCCATCGAACTAGCATCATCGGACCTCTGCACGCTATCCAGATTTGACGAGGACGAGCTAGACCTTGTACAGTGGCCAGCCAGTGGCCCGTTAGTAGGGGTCATTATGGGCTGATACACTGCTGGCACCTGCTCTTCTTCCGGCTGCTCCTCCTCATCTGTGACTTCGTCAGCTTGCGCTGCGGGGACTTGTCTCAACACGGCCACTTCCTCCTTTGGCACGGAGAGGGCTTGGTCAGCTTGGACATCAGAGCTGGTCCTGCACATCAACTTCACCTCTGCGCGGAGAGAGAGCACGATGCGCACCCACGGCAGAAGCTTCGATGGACAGAACGAGTACAGAAGCCATCTCCGGAAGTACTGCTCCATTGTGGTTCTGGACAACAAGGTCTCAAGTCTCTGAAGGTGTGCACTGCTGGTGCGCTGCTTGAGTTGTAGATGCCACCAGGCATGCAGGGCCAAGTGAACTAGCCCGCATGATCTTTGCAATGCAAACAGCTTTCCCGCTTCAGAGCCTTGGACTGCCAGCAGGTTTGCTTGCAGGTGCTCTGACTTCCATGCAAGAAAAGCATATCGGATGGCATCACGCACCAGTGGATGAGGTACCAATAACCCTCTCGTGCACAACTCAACCAAAACATCTGCACGGCTTTCTGCTGCATGCTGGAACCCTGCCCTTGAGCCAGTCTCGTCCACGCCTTGACTTGCATGCATCCACTGTGCAATTTGCATCCACAAGTAGAAGCATCGGCTGGACAGAAGTGTATCCCAACGCCTGGCGCTGCAGACTTCCAGTTTGCCTCTGTACTGTGCGGAGAAGGAGACTTGCTGCCAAGCGAAGAGGCAACAGCCAAGTGTTTCAGCATTCTCCTGCCTGTATTGCTTGTCGATGTTGCGAGAGCATCGTTGACGTTGACGCTGCAGACGTGCGAACATGGACCAACCGGCGAAGATGCTGCTCATAGCCGCGAGACGTGCAGCTTGTGAATGATAAGTCACAAGATCCGTCACGGCGTCGTTTGCAGTTAAGCCAGTCTTGTCCAATCGATGTCGTAGTTGGCTTGTCTCGCAAGCAGATTTCCAAACGACAAAGACAAGATCGATTAGCAGCTTGTCAGCACGCGGCTGCAGTGCCATGCTGCGTTCTGTGTGCTCGCGCTCCGACCTTGCATCCATTGCGTCCACCAAACATTCAAGCGCTCTTTGTCGCCCCTGCTGGCGGAGCATGCCGATGACAACTCCTCTCCATGCCAAGCCTACAGTGTCCCTGGTCGAGTACCATGCATTCCAACAGCTGCGAACTGCGTTGTTGGAGTAGCACTTCAGATTGCACAATACTTCCAATGACGCTCGCTTACCTCGGCCCTCAAGCAGAACGGTCTTCCACGCTGTGAACACATCGAGACAACGGCGGTCTTGCAATCTGCAGCTGCCAGCGAGCTTCAAGCATGAGCCAGTCTCGTCCACGCCTTGACTTGCATGCATCCACTGTGCAATTTGCATCCACAAGTAGAAGCATCGGCTGGACAGAAGTGTATCCCAACGCCTGGCGCTGCAGACTTCCAGTTTGCCTCTGTACTGTGCGCAGAAGGAGATTTGCTGCCAAGCGAAGAGGCAACAGCCAAGTGTTTCAGCATTCCCGTGCCTGTATTGCTTGTCGATGTTGCGAGAGCATCGTTGACGTTGACGCTGCAGACGTGCGAACATGGACCAACCGGCGAAGATGCTACTCATAGCCGCGAGACGTGCAGCTTGTGAATGATAAGTCACAAGATCCGTCACGGCGTCGTTTGCAGTTAAGCCAGTCTTGTCCAATCGATGCCGTAGTTGGCTTGTCTCGCAAGCAGATTTCCAAACGACAAAGACAAGATCGATTAGCAGCTTGTCAGCACGCTGCTGCAGTGCCATGCTGCGTTCTGTGTGCTCGCGCTCCGACCTTGCATCCATTGCGTCCACCAAACATTCAAGCGCTCTTTGTCGCCCTTGCTGGCGGAGCATGCCGATGACAACTCCTCTCCATGCCAGGCCTACAGTGTCCCTGGTCGAGTACCATGCATTCCAACAGCTGCGAACTGCATGGTTGGAGTAGCGCTTCAGCTTGCACAATGCTTCCACCGACGCTCGCTTACCTCGGCTCTCAAGCAGAACGGTCTTCCACGCTGTGAACACATCGAGACAACGGCGGTCTTGCAATCTGCAGCTGCCAGCGAGCTTGGAATGCAAAGCACGCCCCCGCACCACCAACAGCTCCCAGGCAATAAAGCAGCAAATAGAATTGTCCCACAAGTATGCTTTGTAGCGGGCTGAGCACAATTGCTGCTGTTGCATCAGCGTAGTCCCACGCCAAGCTCTGAAGGCCAAGGGCAGCAAAAACCAACCTTTCCAACCCTGACTGTCCCAAGAATCGTGCTGAGAGCATTCGACACCGACACTGCAGCTGCCGAGCTGCCAGCCAGCATCAGTCTGCAGATCATCTGGCTCTGAATACTCGGAGCCACCGCACTCAGAGGACGTTGAGAAGCTTTCTGGCGCTGCAAAGGTCTCAGCATGCTCACGCAGTAGCATGCTTGTGCACGAGCTGTGCCCACCAAGCTGTGCACTGATGCTCACAGCTGCTGCATTCCAGACGTCCAGCTTTGCCTCCGCAGTCAGACTCCACCAAGCTGCAAAAAGATCCTGGAGTTCCAGACTTGGCATTCGCAA